CTCATCTGTTTTCATCATAGTCTCTCATTTACTCATTTGATGTAATGGAGGAAAGAATGTATTGATCAGTAACCATAGCAACAGTTGTGCAGGGACTTTTCAGAGAAGAAATTTAACAACGTACTGTAGCTCTGTTGTTCAAGGTCATGGTGTACAGTCAGAAAGGGAAGAATTAGACCCGGTTACACCAGCGGTTGTGAGCGGAGCCTGGCTGACAGAAAATCTGGACATAGTGTAGTGTAGAGTGTGCTGTAAAGTTAATATAGAAACCAGTATTGGAATGGGGCCCAACACATTGGTCAAATACTCAGTTGGGGGCTATTTTTACATTTATTTATTTATTTTTTATCCTTAGTTAATACATAGTCTGATGTGAGGGGAGTGTCAGTTTGAGGACGTTTTGTTCAATAAATAACAGTTTGTTTCCTTTGGTTTGAAATAGCCTTCAGTTAATGAGGAGAAGATAAAACTGTCTTTAAGCATTTTCCTTCTTGGTGTCCTCACTGTGGTTTGACCACACACTGCACGTCACCCCATTTCCCACAGTGCTGTCAGAAATGGGGTGACGTGCAGAGTATGGAACCCTGCCTTCTAGACCTCTCATATTCAATGAATTCCAACCGTTAAAAGTGTCTGTAAGGTACTGGTATCATTGAGTACACAATTGAAAACTGTAACACTTGTAGTGTTTGTAATTAAATCATGTCAGGACAAGGCTAGTGTTAGCCAAAGTGTTATGTACAACCAACTTGTTCCTCATGAGAGATCTCTTAACATACTGCAGCTACTGTTAAAAAACGGTATATTCTCCTGAATTTGAGCTAACTTTGCTCCTACCTTTCTATTTAGTCCCATACTTGCCACGTTCAAGTGCCTTCTGTTAGATCCTACGATGTTAACCAGTGACAGAATTTTGCCAGTGAAAATGTTGGAGAAGCTGGACATGACTCCTCACTCCCATTCACTCTTCTGTGTTTGCTATATCTTGTCCCATTTGTTTCCACTGTCAAAAACAAACTAGCAACTGTATTTAGTACACGTAAAAAATGTAGTTTTCCCCTCATGTGCTTTACAAATAGTCCTTTTAAAAATATAGTACAGCTGATAGCATGTGACTTCTGTGTTGCCATGGAAACCCCAGAGCGATTTATTTTGTTGACATGTTGGCTATGTAGTTATCATCAGATGATAAATGATGTTGTTGTGGTCAGGGAAAAGCAGGAGTTTGTTTTCTCAGAGTCCTATCCAACAAACTGTTAAAGCAGACATGCAATTTCACCTCCTCCTGCCTAGTAATGTTCTTCCTTTGCTAGTTATGGGATTGGTAGTTCAACAGCTTGGGTGCCCACATAGACTGTGTCCCACAACTCCCAGCCCTGGCCACACATTCTACACCCTGTTGTCTTCCATGTGTTCTGGTTCACGAAGTGCACCATGTTGAACTGACACAGGCAGAACACAGTAACTTTCCTACTCTGGGCCCTGCATTCCCACCCATGAGTAAAGTACAAAAAGTCACATATTGTACATGCTGTATGCACACAAAACACACTTATATGTCTCTGTCACAAACACTAGCAGCGGGCATGGCTATGTGTACAAACACACTCACATTCATTCAGCCCTGTAACCTCTGCACACAGAAGCCAAAAGCCACCACTTCCCTCTCTGCAGCAAAACCCGGGAATTATGTCCGACCGCTCTCTGTGTTCATCCTTCCATTGCTAACCATGCATTATCCTCACCACCTTCCCTGTTCACATCTGCCCTCCAATTTAGGCCGATCACACTTCTGAGTCACTTGATTGAAAAGAGAGACCTGTTACCATGCCATTACCAAGCCCTGTCATGTGTTTTATTTGTGCTGACTTCTACTGTGTGTGTTCTTCCAAGTTGTGTTGAGGAAAAATCATAGCCAGAGCCTGTAATCATGCAAACCAGTTTGTGTTTACAATCTACAATCCACTGTGCCTGTTGGAAGACATCATGTCTTTGTAGCCAGTGGTTACAGTTTGTAGTAAAATACACTTCTGCTCGTCGTCGACTGTACATTAAATATTTCCTTTATAACATCCAGAACTGACTGTATCAACAATCCCACAGGAGTGAAGGCCAAATAACATGCATGTGTAAACAATCTAACGGAGCAAACCTTTATACTCTGCAGCTAACAGGGGATTTAACACATTTCAAAGTCCTCAGCTTCTTCTTTGGCCTCCCGTGTTTAGGGCACGGCGTGTATTTTCTTTAAGAGTCGATATGTTTCTTCAAAGAAGGTAAAATAAACCCTTTTGACTCTAAAGCTGTTGAGTTAAGTTGATATCCACCAGATTCATTTGGTAACAATTATCACTGTTGCATTTCATCATATGATGTTTCGTTTAGTTTCTCTGAAGGAGCAGGCCTCCGGGGACTTCTTTACCACGCAGGAATTATGACGCAGAGCTGCAGGCTTCCCCCTTCTTCTCCTTCTTCATCTTCAGCTACAAGGCCGCTGTCAATTTACACAGCTGAAATCATTTTCCTCTGCTAAAAAAGCTGTTCATGAATATGAGGCGGAGAAATGTCCACTATCCACTCAGCCCTCACTTTCTTGTGGTTTGGGCCCTTTTTTAAAGTCTCAAAGATCTTTTATCCCTCAGTATTTTCCTTCATTGTCTCTTTTTTTGGTCATGGAAAACTTAATTGAAAGCTTCTTGTGTTTAAGTAGGGCTTCCCCATTTTGGGACATCAAGGAACTTTCACTTTGAAGGGACTAGAGCAGTTTATATTGTCACAGCATGACTTGTTGACCCACATATTTGTTTGTTTGGGTAGGCACCATAATTACTCCTGTTAAAACATTCATGTGTTACAGCTAATTTATTAGCAGTCCAGAAATACATTTGTTTAATTGGATGTAAATTACAATGTTAGGACTCAGTTCAGTTTACCACTGGGTGTAATGCAGTGACTATTCAGAAAGTATAGTCACTCTGAGATTCAGAGTACAAAAATGGTTATAAACGTCATGTCATTTTGGACGATAGTCAGAAACCAGTAGTGGATCATGGAGCTGATTTGTATTCATGTTAGTTTAAAAGCTTGAAAACTAAGGGTGATTTATATTGTAATTTGCACAGCATAGATCCATTTGATTGTTCTTTTAATCGTTTTTATTTGTTTAGTTAAACAACAGTTCAGTTAATTTGGTCTCAACTACTACACAGGTCACTGACACTGGGACCTTGTGTCCACAAGCCTTGTCTCTCTGTTTAATTGCAACTAAAAATATAGATGACATGACTCTTGTCCTGACTGGTGAGACGTGTGTTGTCCACAAATAGTTTATCCTTCATTTTTCTTAAGTCCGTCATACTCTCCAGGGGAATTTGGTAAAAA